TAAGATTAGTGGCAGCCAACTGACGATGTGTAACTCGGCCCTTCTCATGGCCGTGCAATTATCCCCACTCAATGCGGCCTTCATGACAACCTCACCTACGTGGGGCCAGATCGTGTGTGGCACGCGTAGACGGACTGTCTGATTTTGTCAGCCAATACTCCCACACCCACCTCTGGTCATTTTGGCATTGTTGCCGTCAGAGCAAGCTGGGTAAGGGAAGAGAGAATGCCACGGATGTTGCAAAATTCCACCTTAATGTAAAGTGATTTATGCACAAGTCCCTGGTGCCGTGCACCAGCATACGCTGGACATCGCCGTTTACGACAGTTGAATTGCCATCAGAATGGCATTACCGACAAAGACAAGGGAGACTGGAATGGCCATTTCTGGCTTATTAACTGTCGTCAGCCAGTCATACCCAACCCCGAAGTTTGGGACACCCGAGGCTCGAGGGAGAGAGAGAGCCCGTAAGGAACAACGGAACTAGTGAATTCCGTAAGAACGATCGGTGAGCGCCCCCTACCATTGAACTGCCATTGTCAGTGTTGAGTGCTGGTGCGACTAGTGGAGTCCACCTTACAGGTAAGTCGGACCGGTGCACGCACGTAGATATTCCTAGGAATATTACCGAAGGCGGGCAGCCCATCGTGGGGTCTTGCATGGGGGTTAGTAGCTCTGAAATGTGGTTCGCCTGGAAACGATCAATCCAGGTTTCCACTGCGAACGAAATTGGTAACATTGGTTGCCAAAGACAACTGAATCAGGGGAACTTGTTCCAAGGGAAGTTGGTGCTGTCTATGAAGTTCGAATATGAATCTTAATCAGTCACTTTTCAGTTAACTGAGGTTCAGCGCTCTGTCGACAAACGTTCGCTGTGGCAACGATCAAGTTCGACCGAGCATGGACTCCGGTTCACTGCGAGGCGAGTTAAAATACTCAACCGTCTAAGTCGGGGTTGAGAACAGCAACTTAACCAGGAAAATATGTTTTTTTGACGCTTCCTTTTCATGATTAAGTAATGGCAACCCGCGCCAATGAGCGGAATTAGGGGTCTGGCTTCATTGGTTATCCGGATTACCCAGCTCTCTCTCTCTATGCTACTCAGGCCATATATCCACCCCGAAGATTATAATCTTTATTTCATCAGTTAATGAGGGTTTATGTGAGTAATATCCTGGATCGCCACGCAACCAATAGACATCTTAGTTCATAATTTGAGAGAGAGAGTCGACGAGTTATAGCATCTGTCTTGGAGACCATCGCGTAAGTTCGAACTTCCACAGGGACTCTGACTGCCAAATAGGAATAATGGAGAGAAATGTTCGAGTCCCAGGTGTATGTATGATTAAGAAAAGAGAAGATTGTTCGAGCACTGGGACAGTTTGTTTATTTTTCTGAGCTTTTCAACTCGTCCAGGAGTTCATTATCAGAGATGGCGCAGCATCTCAATTTTCACAACAGTGCCTGGGACCTCTCTGCTAAAGGCAAACACTGATCAGCTGCGTGATCTCGATCTACCCGCACATCGAACAAAGTCAGCAAAGCACCTGCTACCCTGCTATCTCAATTTTTCTCAAACCAGGAGAATTACAAATCTGTCCTGGATATGTAGTCCATTTTCTCTTTTTTAATAAGGGGGTCCTAATTTACAGCATCTTGCCGTATGTGTTCGCTGTTATAAATATCTGCTGAAAATAGACGGCCGTTTAAGACAAAATGGAAAGGAATTAAACTGTGGTTGATCGCTTATTTACATAAAGTCTATCCAGCCATGAATTCAGTCAGGGGGTTCGCACTGTACCCGCTCCGCTCCTCCGCATAACCGAATTGCACCTCATTCACGCAGAAGTTCTTTCAAACGAATATGTTCCAGCGTCGCTGTATCTACCGTTCGTTTCCCACAACCATACTGATGGTGTCACCACAAGGTTAGAGGCCTGCCTAATGATAGACGGAGAGAGAGAGAGAGAGAGAGCACAACTACTTGCCGCGACAGTTGTAAAACTTTAAATATCTCAAAAGCAGGAAGGCTTTGACTCCTTGTACACCCCGCCTCTACAGTTGGCTATTATCATTTGTAGAAAAGAACTGTACTGAAAAGACGATACCAGCCAGAGGAACTGTGTTTACGTGTTCAGAACTGGTGTACGAGTTGCATATATGCTCTTTATGATAACAATTTAACACCATCGAGGAAGGGGAAGGCGTAGGAGAGGGCTACCACCGTTTTCGTCAACACAGAAGTCCATCAAAGTTATCTACAGCCCCTCCCACTTACAGGGCGTCTGTCGCTACAAAGACGTACAAACCGTTGCTTTCACAAACAGAGATAGACTCTGGAGA